AGGATCCCCCTATCACATACATTGACCATGATAAATTAGATATGATCGCAGATGACACAGAAGTAGTTGAAAGAAATATTCTTATAAAATTTGGCCTTTTTGGAGAAGCCCTTTTAGAAAAAATTGCAAAGAAACAAAAAATTTTAAATGATGATTTTCGATTGTCTCACATGATTGATCTTCTAGTGCACCTCCACATTATTGCTGAAGTAAGAGTTAATCACCTCAACATCATCACTGAAGATGTAGACTTTGAAAAAGAAAAGGTTCATGTTGTCACCGATGTCAAAAGTAACAAAGAAAAAATTAAATATTTTTTTCCGTGTGCATTACCATCTTACGACAAGCTCAATCCTGCCCTAACAGAAATACAACCACTTCTCATAGCATGGGAGATTAAGTACAGTGGGACAACAACTCTAGCCATCCCTCAAGGATTATTTCCTTTAACCATTGTACACCTTTTAGAGAGAAAAAAGGAAGAAGTTGACTTCAGTCCTGATCGAGATTCTCACAAATTCTACAGATATCATGATGCCATGTCACTTCGTGTTTACGAAAGATACTTCATTGATATCATCAATCGCTATACACATCTTGAAATACATTTTCGTGGCTATAAGAAATCTTATTCACAGATAGTTGCAGAAGTTCGTGAATTATTGAGAAAAGTTATGGAAAAAAGTAGTAAAAATCTTAAAGTTGAGGAAGATACTAAGTTTATCTTTGCTTTCAAATGCCCCGAAAAAGGAACCTACTGCATTGTCCGAGAAAAAGACAAATCTAAAGGCAAAGCTTCTACATGGTGTACTGAATGTGTCTCACAATGCAACGTACTAGATTTAGAAAATGATGATAGCTACAGATGTTGGTTTAGTGATCAATTGTCCAGTCCAGGTTAGTATGAATAAAGAGAGATTGTATTTGTAAAATTAGTTACATACCAACATTTTATATCCATTATTTGGAGTCATGCCATATGTTTAATGTGAACTATTTTTATTCTTATAGGAAATAAGTTTGCATCATTAGAAGGCCAAGACCCACCTACGAAGAAATGTGGAGTGCAACACACTGAATTAGGTAAATAAATTAATATATATAGCACCAGGAGTTCATAATTGTGGACTCTTGTCTTGATAGCATGTTGCTTCAAAATGCATTGCTACCACATTATTCCATTAGATACCAGTAATCTTATTCATATACTTGATATACTAAAGAAGCATGGATATTCTGGTGTTGATTATTATTACCTTGGTCTTCGTTTGGGACTGCTCCCTCGTACACTTGATGTTATTGAGGAAGAAAGCAAAGGAAATGTTCGTAATGGACTAAGAGAATGTTTGAAGGCATGGTTGGAACAAAAAGACAATGTAAAGAGTGTTGGTGGTCCAACTTATGATACATTAATACAAGCATTGAGGGATGAGGAAGAGAATGCTGTAGCTGATGGGATTGAAAAAGATATCAATAGTAAGGAATGAGTTTACTAATGATTTATATTGATTATTATTTTTCATTTCATCATAGCAAAGAAATGAGATAGTTTCACTAGAAGTAACTCTCTAGGATTCATATGCACAGCACACATTATTATACAAATAGTTTTCTTGCAAAAATAATGTTTTCATTTTTTAATTTTTTTTATTCATGTGAAAGCACGTGGTTTAATTATACGGAGTATAAACGGAAAATATACAGAAGTGGGAAGAGGAGTCTTTTCTTCTTAAAGAATGAGTTCCATATATATAACAGAGCCCCCTACTAAAGGAAAGGTAGTTAATCCAGCAGCAGCTGTATTAGTGACTACTGGCCCCTCCCCTCAGGTACTATTAAAGACCACACTGGGTGATATTGATATTGAACTGTGGTCCAAAGAGGCTCCTCTGGCCTGTCGTAACTTCATACAATTGTGTTTAGAAGATTATTATAATGATACCATATTCCACAGAGTCGTTTTTGGTAATGGATTAATTATTATTAATTAGTGGGTGGAGTTATAATTATTAATTAATTAGAATGACCTATTGATGTTATGTTGCTTTCCTACATGTACATGTAATTTTTATCTCTCTCTCTCTCTCTCT